AGGGAGGCTGTGGCTGCCCCAACCCTGGTGGTGTTCAATCCAGGCTGGATGAGCCTTGAGCAACCTGATCTAGTGAGGAGGTGTCCCTGCCCAGGGCAGGGGTTGGGACTGGATGATCTGTAAGGTCCATTCCAACCCTTAAATTCTATGATTCTGTGATTTTTCCAGCACACAGCGAGATGTGATAGGACATGGGGGAAAGGCCTTTAAGTTCTCTTCCAACCCAAACCAGCCTGTGATGCTGTGTGTTTCTGCCACTCTGAAAGTTTGCAAATCCTTGTGTGATAAATTCGAACCCTCTCAGCCTTCTACCCAAGCAAAATGTGGCTTATTGAAACAGTGAATCTGCAGAATTTGTATACAAAACCTGTGCAGAGTTCAGTTGCTAAAACACAGTTGTTTGTGTTTGTTGATTTTTCAAGAGACACAACTAAGCGCTGAGATCTTGACACTTAGTTCTACAAACAAACAACACTTTGTTTTATAAATACCAGCCAAATCTTCAGTGCTGTGCTTTGCTGCAGATTATTGTGGCTAAGAGCATAGGGATGAGGGGTGTGAAGGAAAAGGAAGGAAAATCACAGCCTGACAGGAGCCAAAATGCACCAGGCCCAGAGTTTGGATGTCCAGAGATGGGACAAATCCATGGGACAACTTGGTGGGAAATGTTTAAAGTAGATTTTCTTTGATGAATTATATATGGAAGGAAGATTTCCTCTTGGATCTGAGTGATGTCTCCTGCTGTAATGGTTTCATACAAATTGAGTAGCTGGAGCCTCTCCAGGTTCCACTTGCTGCTCTGCACTGTGTCTGTGCTCTGGGTGTGTGATCCACTGTGACTCGGAGATGATTTGGATTGAAATGTGGATTTTCCACAGAGCACAGGTCACCAGTTCTTCTGATGAAATTGCAAGTCTTCCATATTTGGTGGTTTTTATCCTTCTGAAGTCACAGGCCCCTGGAGTAAAGGGGTTTTTGAGGAGATCATCTTCTATGAGTCAAGCAAGCAGAGAGTTTCCATTCAAAAAACTTAGGAGAACATGCTGAAATAAAGTGATCTTACTACAACAGAAAATAGACTAATTTTCATTTAGAAGTTGAAATTTTGTATCTTTATTTCTCTGCTCCTGCTACTGAATTTTAATACTAATGTTGAGTAGTTTTTCTCTTGTTAACTTTTCATAAAATGCATCTTGGTAGATGTTATTTGATTGTGTTCAATTCACTTAATTTCCTTCTTCTTTCCTTTCTCCCCAGACTGTACAGTTTGTTCAGGGAATTTTTGTTGAGAAATATGACCCAACAATAGAAGATTCATACAGAAAGGTAAAATACTCTAAGTTTTAATTTCTTTCAAGTCTCAGATTTTAATAATGCAGCGAAATGTTGTCAGAATGAGAAGGATCTTTTCCAAGGAAATATTTTGGCTGTACAGAACCACAGCAGGAAAGGGAGACATGGAATGCATCAATCTGGGAAATGCTTTTGTGCAGGTAGTTTGCTTTGGCTTTACAGAGTATTTACTGGCTTAGGGTCTCTGAATGCAATCAGACAAATTGTATCAGTTGCTATAAAGCTGAATGATCAAGGAATAACAAATCCTGCTGTGAATTGAGCTGTTCCCCAGTGTAGTTGTGTTTCACAGGAGCATTAAACCTCCCTTACTGCAGACAACCAGCAGCTCTCACCTTACACCTCCAGTGACTCAAGGCAGTGTGAGGCTGCAGCTCTCCACTGGTTGTCTGGTTCTTCCTCAGAGATCACTACACCTGCCCAAGAGGGAAATTTGGTGGTGTTTGCCTGAACCATCACCAGTTTCCAGCTGTGCTCCTGCCAGTGCTTCTGACTGATGCCTGGGAACAGGAACAGCTCAGCCAAACTAGGGTCAGCCTGTTGCTCAGCACTATTGGCTGCCATTTGATTTATAGTTTTCACTTCAAAACATCAAGGTAGCAACATTTGCTCTGTGTGTGCTCTGGACAAGCTGTGAGAGAGGATATATCCACCCTCCATCCCAGCAGGTTGTGTTGCTGCAGCATAGCAATTGCCTCGTGGGGTTCTCTTTTAGCCATGGCTGTTTTGCCATTTAGCTGAAGTGTGTTCTGCTTGGTTTGAGGGATATGAGATTCTTTATGGCTGTTTTGGATGCAGGGTTGGAATTGCTGAGCAAAAATCCTTGTCAGGGTCCCTAACACTGTGCTGTGATGTAATTCCATCCACAGAGCTGCTTTCTTCCCAGGATTGATGTCAAGTGACCCATTGTTTTATGGATTAGCATAAATGTCACTGTCATTAAAGGCACCTAAACAGAAACCAAAGCCTTGTAACGTTTGTGCCTGTGATCATTAGTTGTGAATTGTGGGATGAGTTTTGCTGTTAGGTTTATTTGATTTTTCCTGGAATTACCCTCCTTGGATCTGAGACATTTCTCAGGGAGTGGAAGATTTGCTGAGCCTAGTTGTGAGCATCGTGCAATATTTTGCTTGGTTTTTTCTTCCTTACTCCCTTCTCCCCCTAACAGCAAAGGAAAATAAAAGTTTTAAGGCCCTTTGATTTGTGAGAGTGGATTAAGTCGAGATATTTACAATCTCACTTAAGTTGAGATGTTTACAGTGAGCTGCTCATTTAAGCCTTTGTAATGAACAGAGTCCTGGAGCATGTGAGCTGACCCAAATGCCTGGCTTGGGGCGTAATTAATCCTCTGATTGCAGTGCTGTTCAGCCTTGGGGAAGTGCAGGTGCCTGGATTGCTAATAGAGCTCTTTGTGGCAGAAGTAAAACTCAAGCTGAGCTTGCTCTTGCCTGTCCCATTTCAGCCACTTTAGCTTGAACTGTTTGTCTCTTCCCTTTCTCCCCAGCAAGTGGAAGTAGACTGTCAACAGTGTATGCTTGAGATCCTCGACACAGCAGGGACAGTAAGTATTTTTTTTGCTGATTGTGTGGAGTTGCTTTGTTAAGAGTGATAATCCTCACCAAGTGCAAGCAATAAATCAGCTGCAGTAATTTAAACTGAACGATTTTGTTTAACAACCCAAACTCAAAAGTGGTGGATGAGATCTCTGCAGCTCTCCCAGCCCTTGTGAGCCATTCCCAGCTCTTCCCCAGTGCTGGGACACAAAGATTGGTGCCTCCTGTACCTCTCACCTCTTCTCTGCCATCCACCACATGAACACTCTGCTATGGGATAATTGAAATGTGAATTTTGCAAGTGGCCAGAAGACACAGATTGGAGCCAATCCCAGGCAGTGCACAGGGTTTGCTTCCCAGCACATCACATCAGCCTCCACGGGAGGATTTCCTCAGTAAACATCTTGTACCTGCCAAGGAATCCTCCTTCAGCCAGGTGGCACCTCCCTGGCACTGCCTCCTGCTGCTTTGGGAGGCTCATGTTGTTCTTTGTGACTCCCTTTGCCATGCCAGTGTCACCTGCCACCCTGCAAAGTTGTGTCACTTACCTTGTAAGGGTTGAGTGCCCATCCCAGGGGGAGATTGTGTTCCTCAAAGTTGGTTTTATTGAGAAAGCTTTGCAAATTAGCACCAGCAGAAGGAGAAATCATTGTTATGTGGGAGTGGTAAAATTCCTTTCACAGGCTGGGACAAAGGCAGCTCTGAGCAGGGACAGAGTGTCCAGTTTGCTCTGCATTGAACCTCTAAACCATTGTCATGCTGTGTAACTGGGCATGTTCAGAGGTGACCAAGGCAGTGCCTTTCCACAGTTGTGCTCACAATAAATCCTGAGCATGTGGCCCTTGGGCCTTGTTTCAATATTGTGTGAGAAGAGAAGTTGAATTTCCAGTCCCTGTCTGTTGTCTGGGGGTTGCTCTGCTGGCAGATTCATGCTTGACACCATATCACCAAGATCACTTCAAAATGTATCACCAAATCCACATACCTGATGGTTTGGGATGTACAGATCTGCAGAGATAGTTTTATTGCTTCTCTTCGTTTTTTTCCCATTTTTTTCAAGAAGCCTTTTCTCTATTGGGGGGGAAAAAAACCCAAACCTCAAAGGGCAAGAGATGTGTTAATGCTTTTATTAACTTTCCATGCTTCAGTGGATTTGTGTGAGGGGAAAATATATAAATGCAATGCTGTGTGGCACTGTGTTCTTGTCTCCAGTAGAACAGGAGGATTCCTTTGTAACTAACTCTTCATTAGCTGCATTCACTAGCTAATTACTGTTAAAACCATTTGATTACAGGAGCAATTTACAGCCATGAGGGATCTCTATATGAAGAATGGCCAAGGGTTTGCACTAGTATATTCTATAACAGCACAGTCCACGTTTAACGACCTACAGGACCTGCGGGAACAGATTCTACGGGTTAAGGACACTGAAGATGTAAGTAGAGAAGTTTTTTTACTGCTGTAAATGGTTAAAATGTGTTTGTAAGGAATTGGTGAGCAAAATACAGGCCCCAACTCCTGGAACTGGAACTCCTTTAATTCCTAAGGTGTGATTGCAAGGTGGGAACTCTGTGTAGGCTTCCTCCAAAAGAAGCTGCTTCATGTATTCAAGGGTTTGCCCTGAGGAGTGTGCCAGAAATGGCCTATTTTTTTCCACTGACAGCTCCAAAGTAGCCTCTGGCTTTGATGTGGATTGCTTTGGGGTTGTGGATTGCTTTGGGGTTGTTGTCAGCCACGCTGTGAAACTCCTGCCCACATCCCTTATCCCCCCACAACCTCCTGCACTGGGAGATCACTGCACAGGGCCAGGACACCAAATCCTGAGTAAGCCATGTGTGTTTTATTCAGCTGTCCCTGCAGGAAAATGCAGTTGGAGCCCTGAGCAGAGCACTTGGGATGGGATGAGCACAGCCCTCGGGCCAACCTCCCCAGGCAGTTGCTTCCCTTGGATCCTCATCCATGTATCCTGATTACCTGGGTTTGAGTGGCTTTGGGTTCCCTCCTTGGTGTAACAAGCTGAACTTCTATTTATGCCAAACTGCTTTTCCTTTAGGTAGGGATTATGCTTGGGTAAATCCCTGGTACCAGGAGGGCTGTGTTAGCCTCAGCTGTGTGAGGGAGGGGAATGTGCACTGTAAGCTGGAGAGGTTCATCACACAATGCACACTGCTGCTGTCCCTTTTCCTTCAGGCCTTTGATTGAGTGATTAAAATTCGTTTATTTATTCTGTGTTACTTATTGAATCCAAGCTTGGAACATTGAAGCCACGTTGTGCTGAGTTAGGGAAATGTGCTCCTTCCTGTGTGTAGCTTTAAAAGTCACAATATTTAAGCCATTAAATTATATAGGTCTGGCAAAGTTGAAATTCAAGTCTTCTGTGTGAAATAGTAGATGATCAAAAGGTGGTTGTTCATCAAACTCCAGTTTTGGCTCTATGATAAAAGATTGAAACCTTTTGTAATAACCTTAGAGAGAGTTTCACATGAAACCTCCAGTTGTTACCCATCTCAGTATCACTTTGGGCCCTGTTATTTCACACCTTTATATGCTTGAATTTTTTGCTGAACAAGTTCAAAACACGTTTTGCTGTGAGAAAATTTCACTATGTAGAAACCCATAGAGAATAGGATTAAGCTGATGCTACAGTTGTAAATATCTCTGATTTGAAATAGGCTGTTTTGGATTTGCCTCATCTGTTGCCTTAACTTGAGGTTCCTGAGGTAATAAGCAAAGCTCCAAAATAAAAACACGATCATTTTCTAATGCTTATGAGCTTTAAAGACATAAATTAATCTTGAGTGTAGTCATATCAGGAAGAGACTACAAATATTATCCCTGAAGTAGACGAAAAACGCACAGCGTGGTGTAAATTACCAAAGGAAGTGGATAATGATTTATTTTCCAGCTGGAAAGTGCTGGTTTTCTGTTCAAAGAATGAAATGGTGGAGGAAATGGAGTGTGTGCACACCCTTATCAGCAGTTCTTCAGGGTTTTTTTCAGCTCTGACACAACGTGAGGGAAACAGGATGCTGTCTGTGCTGTGGGCACGCGGAGCAGCACAGCACGTCCTGCTGTGGTCTGAGGTGTTCAAACCCACCTCAGCTCAGGCTGAATCATCCCCTGAGGCCTCTGAGGTGCAAATTCCACGTGAAACATAACCCACAGTTCTCAGGTGTACAGAGCTCTGTGGAGCTGCAACCAAAGTGGCTGTGCAAAGAGCAGGAGGGACGTGCAGTGCCCAGGACTGTGCTGGCACCTTGTCCCCTCCACCTGAGAGGAGGTAGTTTGGGTTGCTGTGGAGGGGTTTGGGGTGGGTTTTTTATGGGCTTGTTTAAGGTCTTGAGGAACCACACACTGGTTTGGGTTGGAAGGACCTTAAAGCTCATCATGTCCCACCCCCTGCCATGGGCTGGGACACCTTCCACTAGCCCAGGGTGCTCCAAGCCCCATCCAACCTGGCCTGGAACTTCCTTTTCTATATATTTGTATCATCTTGGTGGGCTACAGCCCTGCTAGACACTGCCTGGGAAAGAGAGAAAGCCTTCCTGAAATGCTCTATCAGGATGTTATCTCTCAGATGTCACAGTGCTGGTTTTAACTGCCCTTTTTGCCCTTTTTTTTTTTTTTTTCTGCTGAGAGAATTTTAACTCCTATCTAAGCATAAGTGAGGAGAGTGAGTCCTGCTGCTCACATTCAGCACTGCTTATTCTGAAACTTTCTGAGACAAAGGGATTTATAACTTATTGAGCACAGATTGCACTTGGCTTTCCACACTGCACCAAGCAAATACAATCCCAGCCCCTGTGAGAAAGCAGTGAGGTACAGCTGAGCAGGAGGCTCTGTCCCTTCTGCTGCCCTTTGTGCCATTTGGGGGAGGGCTGAGAGATCCAAGGAGCAGCTGGAGCTGTGTCAAGGGAGGTTTAGGTTGGATATGAGGAGAAGGTTCTTCCCCCAGAGGTGTTTGGGCACTGAACATCTCCCAGGGCAGTGGGCACAGCCTCAAACCCAACAGAGCTCCAGGAGTGTTTGGCCAACACTCTCAGGCACAGAGTGGGAATTTGGTCTGTCCTGTGCAGGGTTAGGAGTTAGATTTGATAATTCTTGTGGGTCCCTTCCAGCTCAGGATATTGTGTAGTTCTGTGATTCCTTTTTCTGTTGCAAAGACATTGGGAATAAGCATTTTCTGCAGCCAAAGTCATTTTCCTACAGTATTCAATTCTGGGTTTCTATAGGAAGTGTCACAAGGAATATGGTTTCCCAAGCCAAAGTCATTTTCCTACAGTATTCAGTTTCTGGGTTTCTATAGTAAGTGTCACAAGGAATATGGTTTCCCCAAGGCACTTTTTTCCTCATGAAGGAGCAAGAAAGTGACTCACCCAGACACTGGAAATGGCTTAAGGAGAGGAACAGATGCCCTTTCATCATTGTCTTGAACAAGTGATTTGCCTGTATTTGCATCACAAGTGCAGGATGAGTCTTTTGAACATATATCAAGTGTTTGTTTTGCTATTGCAAGAGATTATTTATGGGAAGTGATGTGCTTTCAGGAGCTGAGCTGCTGGGAATTCCAGTTACTCTGAGCTAGTAAATCTGGAGCAGTCTTTGTTCCTGTTGTAGTGAGCATCCTCTGTCCTGTGTGTGTGCAGAGTCTCACTGGGATGAGATTGCACTGGGATGAGAAAGGCAGGTGGGTTTGTGTTCTGTGGAATACTTGGCTGCACAGGACTATCCTTTTTATCCCATGTCCAGGGCAGAGCTTCACAAAGGTGTTTCCATTTATTGTTGTGTGACTTGACAACAGGTTGACAGGACAGGTCAAAGGGGCTTGAAACATAGAGTATGTGCCTGAAAATATGTGCTGGGTGTGTTGTACAGGCTGAAGTTGTATGAACTGGGCTGAGTTGGCAGCAGCTCAGGCTGCTGTCACAGCACAGTCCTGATAGGCATTGTGAGAGTAAACTGACTTTGGGACCAGAAAAGCAAACTTTACCGACTTAAATGATAATATTTCAGCACCGTTTTGGTTTTCTGTGTTTTAATTTAGTGCACCAAGCTGTCTGTGGTGTGGACTTTATTCAACCTTTTCCCAGCAGGCATCAAAATTCAGCCTGGTCCATCAGCTCTGCTGAACTCCTGATTTTTAGTGGTTTTCATGCTGTATTTCCCCCCTATTCCCTTTTTGAGCCACAGCAGCACAGTCCACATTGTCCATGAACTTGCTGATGCATCTCCTTGCTTGTTCCTCTCCAGGTTCCCATGATTCTGGTTGGCAATAAATGTGACCTGGAGGAAGAACGTGTCGTTGGCAAAGAACAGGGGCAGAACTTAGCAAGACAGTGGTGTAACTGTGCCTTTCTAGAATCATCTGCAAAGTCTAAAATCAACGTAAACGAGGTAACTATCAGCTCTGCTTTCCAACTCCAGTATGAATGTGGTGTTCAACCAACATATATGTCTTAACTGGAAATGATAAAGAATCGTGTCCAGGATGGTTCTGAATTCTCAGCCTGAGAAGGGTTTACCAGGCAGTGTATTCAGCTGTTTTGTTTGTTTTAAGATCTGCTCCTTTTTTCCCCTGTAAAGGGTGAGTGAGTTCCCAGGTAAGTGTTTTCTATAGCCTGAGTCAGAGGCCATGAACAGCAGAGGATCCTGAGCAAGCCCAGTGAGCTGAGTGACTCCTAGCTCAGCTTAATTTATCTGGAAGGTACTTTTCTCAAGATAACAGCTGCTTTTCCAAATGTGGCACCTGCCCCACTGAATTCCTGGTCATGTTGTGTCGTGTTGGCTGTTGTCGTCGAAGTATTTGCTTTTCACGTTCCTGTTACGTGTGGCTGCTCAAGCAAAGACACCACCACAACCCTTTGGTCAGCCACCAGTTTGCTGAGACCATATCCAAACACAGCTCTGAGCAGCTCCCCGAGCTGAAATGAGAATCCCCTTTGCACTGAGCTGCTTTTTGCTGCTGCCTGGGGCTGTGGAGTTGTGCTGAGGGAGCTCTGCAACCAAAGTTTGTGTTCCATGCCCTGAATTATCTGCCTGTGACAGAGGCCAGGTTTCCAGCCACAAAAGCTAAGGTGACCCTGTTGAGCAGAGCTGACGTGGTGCCAGCAGATAACTGGGACCGTTTAGGAGGTTGTGTGATAAGCAGGAGCTGCAGGATCTTGGACTGGGCCCAGGGTTCATTTGGCAGCTGATGGGACGTGCATCGAGCTGCTTCAAAGGGAAGGCAGCTCCAGGCTGCATGAATTGCAGCTCCTGTGGTTGGGATTAGCCTGGCTGTAGTGCATACTGATCCAACCCAGTAAATATAGCTCACTGAGCCAGACTGCTGCCAGCAGGGATTTATTTGTGTGTGTGTCAGAGCTGGAGGAGAACCTGACTGGTGATGAAGTCCTCAAACACATCCCCACGGGTGTAACAGATTCCAGTTTAGTGGTGTTGCCACAGTTTGTGGGGCAGTGTCTGACCTCAGCTCAGCCAGAGGTGCCCTGGGTGGGGAAGGGCTTGTGTGGTAGGCAGAGCCCTGAGCTCTGGTTTCCATCCCCTCATCCCCA